TCTTAAGTAGAGAACTGACTCATTGTGCACTGGAGCTGTCAGCAAGTCAACTAATTGATAATCCATGCACACAGCCTGGGAGAGAGAAAAGACTCAAAGCTGGGTTTCTCCTCTATATTTGCACAGCACCTAACACAATGCAGGCCAGAGCTGCCCCAAAGGTTGCTAAGTGTAACCACAATAGAAGGAAAAATAAATGGTGGGGATGTACGAAAAGGATGGGGAAAGGTCTCCACACAAAGCACAGCCTAGATGCTTCCATTTTCCGGGAGGCCCGTCTTCCATACTGATATCACAAATTCAAATGGAAATCCCAGTTTCCTGGATAAAAGGAAATAAAATCATTGATGAAAATATCATAAGAAAGTCACTGTTGTTGGGATGATAGGCACTAAGAAAATGGTGTTCATCGCATGGGAGTTAGGCTCTAGGACCTCTGAAGGTCCATTTTACATGGGACAAAGCCACAGGCATTTTTGATGTGGGTCCATCAGTGAGGCAGAACGAGGCGCACAAGGGTAGAAAGCCTCAGCTGAAAGCAGCTCCTCATCCACCTCACCATCAGGAGGACAATTCCAAAGTCAGATCTCCCGTCAGGGGTCATCTCCACTAAGGTGGGCTCTGCTCTCTTCAAGAAGAGCTGAGTAAATGCAATTTGCTCAGCAGGGAGCTGCGGACTCAAAGTGAAAATGGGGAGAGAGCTGGTAGGTCTGTCACTCTTCCTTGGCTGATTTTTCCCCTCCATCCTTCCCATGACCCCTCTGGCCTTCTCCAGATGCGTCGTGTCTTACTCACCGAGCTTCACTCAGTGAGCTTTCTACATCAGAGTCTTCCACTGTCAAGATGGAGCAACCCAGGAAAGTCACTTGTGCAGGCCCCAAAGTGCTCTCACTGCACTGCTGGAGCTGGGACAACGCCTGCCTTGGTCGAGCATCCAGCATGTCAAAGGAGACAGCTCAGGAGTCTGCTCTTCTGCCATGAGCTTCCTCCTTCAGTCTACCCCTTTGATTTATTGTGCTTAAGCACTTCTGAGCACCTGGAAAGTGTTTTTGTCCCATTAATTTTGACTTGGAAGTTTCAGTGCTTCCCAGAAGAAAAATAAATCACTCAGGATGGGAAGACGTGCCCCACACAACCTCCTCCCTTGTCTGGATCCCCTTCTCCTGCCTTCCACTTTCTTTTCCCTCCTACTGTTCCCTTCCTCCTCCTCCAACAGAAAAGAGATGGTGATAAATGTGCCACACAAGGAATGAACTTTGCATACCAGGAGCCAGGAGGTAATGCTATCTGCCCAAACATCGCCTTGTTGAGCACCTAAATAAAGCTCTCTGCACCCAGCACAGATGAAGCCTGTGGTCCCAGGAGATAGGACACCCGGCTGGAGACATCAAATCCATGCAGGCATCTGTCTCTGCTTCGAAAACATTTGGTCCTCAGAAGTTTGAAACACCTGTAGGTGGTCAACGTCGGGTTGAAATCGCATTTCCTTTAAGGTCTCCCTGGTTCTCCCTGCGTCTCCTCTTCATAGAATCATTAAGGTTGGGAAGACCACTAAGATCACCTTGTCCAACCATTGGTGGGCACCTTCTCCACCATACGGTCACCCATCATCGCCGTATCACTAAATCACATCAGCCAGTGCTCTTCTAACCCAAAGGTCTCAATTCTCTCTTCAATGCAGTATTACCTCCCCCATCTCCCCAGCTTGATATCTTGACCCTCTAACTCGATATCTTCCTCCTCACAGGGAAGCAACCTATGGAAGCACACCCTGGTCTTACAGGACAGAGGACAAACCCCAAATCAGGCCTTTTCCCATTTTATCAGGCACTAAAGCATCTGCACTGTTGGTTTCTGTGGTCAAACCCATGCCCCAGCCCCCCAAAAATATCGACCCCATCTGAAAATCACACTATGTAAGCTAAACACTGCTGATATCTTCTGCCAGGTTCACTTCTGCTCTGCACTGGGGCCACTATTCCTTTGTGTTGGGATATTTACTGAAGTCCTGATGATTAATATCCTCCCTTCCCTCACCACTTGGACAACTCATTCAGATTTCTTCCAGTGATGAGCACATGATGGATGGATTTGATACACTTGGCACTAAAGGAACTGCATTGAACGATATGTCTAATCATTACTTTTCTCTTTCTTTACTCTTTTTTTTCTTTCTTTTTTAAATTACATTCACTTGAAAGATGACCTCAAACCTCCAAATGCAGACCTGGTGTAAGGTTTTCCACAATTCACTTCTCCTTTCAGTACAGGAAATACAAGGGGTGAACCACTAGTGAGTTCACTTTATGATTGTATTATATGACCTTTCTTTTTTCCCCTGGAATTTAGATTTATATGGCCATTCAGCCTGTCATCTATCTGTCCCCAGTAGACTTTGTCCACCTGTTGATTTTTAAACTGTCTTTGACAGAAAGCTGAACGTCTCCAAAGAAATTATGTTCCTATTTCTATGTTAAAATGAAGATCCAGAGGAAGGAGTGATGTCAGTTTAAACAACTTATTTCTTCTTAATAATTCTTATTCCATTAGCTGATTTTGATATGGTAAGTCTCCTACATAGCAAATCACAGGAGAGGAGATGTGCAAGAAAAACAGGAGAATTCTGATGGTGTAACAGAAAAAGACAGAATACCCAAAAAAATTAATCGGTTTGGGGAGCAATCAACTCTGACACATAAATCTACAAATATCAGACTGTTCCTCTTGCCAGTCTTTGTTCTTCCAGTTTCCATGTGGATCTTAAACTGCTGAAACTCCATGAGAAAGGTGCTTCCCTCTGGTATTTCTAGTATAGGAATATCTGAGATAAATTGTTAGAAATTCTTACCATCTTGGGATCATCAAAGTTGGAAAAGACCTCCAAGATCACCAAGTCCGACCCCAACCCATCCCCACATCCCTCCACGTTCCTCATCTCCATGGTTCTTGAACACCTCCAGGCACGGTGACTCCCCCACCTCCCTGGGCAGCCTGTGCCAATCCATCACTGCTTTTTTGGAGAATAATTTTTTCCTAGTATCCAATCCCAAATTTTCCCAGAAAGCAGATTTTTACTTGCTTTCCAGTCCTTTTGCTGTAATCTCTAGGCCCAGCATGGAGGCCAGAGCAACCAGTGCCACCTTGTGTGTTCAAAATGACCACCCTTCCCAGAGGTGATGTCTGTCCAGAAATGCAGGACACATTCCTCAAGGCTGTGGGTGTGAATTTCTTGTTGACGTCATCAGGAGCGAATCTAGGACACAACTATTCTCAATTTAGACTCTGTCAGCAATTGAAGTGAATTGCCTCACCGAGTGTCTGTTTCTGTCTTATACTAAATATAAAAGTAAGGAAAGAAGAACGTAAATGAGACAAAAAAAATACATTCCAAAAAGAAAACTGTACAGAAATGGTATCTTCTCCACTCCCTGCTGCCCTTGAGAAGTTACAGCACAGCATTCAAGAGCATCAGACAGTTGAGCCTTTTCCAATTCCAGAAGTGCAGCTCAACAGAACTTCATTTTAAGGGATTTACTGGGTAAAACCAGTGTGAAAGCAGGTGAGTGTGTTTTACAAAGCAAGATAGCCATGAGTGTTCTACCTGCAGTGCTGTGAAGTTATATGGATGGTCTTCAGCTTTTGAGAGATATTGGAAGAGCAAAATGTTGCATGTCAACATGGGTGCTGTAGTAGCACTACTTACACACCACGTTGCTGAGGAGATCCACTGGGGAAAGCACAATAAATAACACAACTACTTAGTAACTCTGTAGTGCCCTTCATCCAAACATCTCCAAACACTACGCAAACATTTGTTAGAACTGCCGCTGACCCCGGGTAAAGCCATGCTATCTTTACTGTGCAGCAGATAAGAAAATTGAGGTGACATTATTTCCATGATCCTGCGACAGGGGTCAGAGGAGAAGCCCAGAGTTCTACCACCCGCTGCCCTCTGCCCCATGGGAATGATGGAAAAAATGGAAATGGAGAGATAAGTCTCCAGAATGCCCTTACTCAAAGGGCCTTTCCAAAGTGGCTTTCTTTGTTCCCCTTAGTGGGGCTGAGTCAAGTTCCAACGTAGAGAGAAAAATGGAGGATAATAGAAGAAAAAGTGAAGAAATGGTATACAGGAAGCTCAGACTGCTCAATGCATGTTTAGAAATGATTAGGTAACCGAAATCTTGAAGGCAACCTGAAGGGATGTGCCCTTTGGCTCCAATTGTTCATCACTGCTCAGGCTGTGGAAGAATGACCTTCCTTGTTTTACAGAAGGGAAAAATACATCTATACAGCAAGCTTGGAGTGTTCTCTCAACTTCTTGTCAGAGCTCAATTCAGTAGCTCAGAAATATTCTCAGCTTGGATATTATGGAAGATCTCTTCTCGAAAAGAGTGGTGATGCAGTGGCACAGGCTGCCCAGTGAGGTGATGGGGTTACCATCCCTGGAGCTGCTCCAGAACCGTGGAGATGTGGCACTGAGAAATTCGGTTGGTGAGCGTGGAGGGAGTGGGTGGTGGTTGGACTTGGGGATCTTGGAGGTCTTCTCCAGTCTTAATAATTTCATGAAAGCATTTCAGGCATCCCCACAGTGTCAGTGGATACGAATTCACATCCACAAGACACCGATATCATCCTATGTCAGAAGCTGGGGACCATGGAGGATACTTTAGGGCATCAGCTTGCACTAGAAGTCCATAAGCAGATTAGATGTGCCCTTGAGGTCTGAACTGAAGCTTGGGGTTTGCTGTAGCACAATGAAAGGAGGAGCAGGTTTGGATCACGGATCATCTCACTCAGCTGTCTGCTTGGGATCAGATGAATAAGTCAAAGTGAGGTTGATCTCACAAAGAGTGGTCAGGCATTTGAATTGGCTGCTCAGAGAGGTGGAGGAGTCACTGTCCCTGGAGGAGTTTAAAGAAAGGGTAGATGTAGTACTGCAACACGTGGGGAATATTGGTGGTAGGTGGACTGTTGGACTCGATGTCCTTAGAGGTTTTTTCCAACCTCGGTGTCTCTATGATTCTGATCCCTCCACTGACTTTAGCAGGCATCTAGATGATGAACTCCCATGTCAACTATTCTACTGAAGACACCTACATTTGGGCAGACAGCTCCTAACTTCCACAGAAGAGATGGGACTGGATTTAGAGAGAGCCTAAACAGTTGTGAATATCTGTGAGCGGTGGAGCAGCCTTGGATTCAACAGAGATCACCAGGTGCTGAGCAAAACTCTTCCCAGGTCCCAAGAAAAGGTTAATCCACTGCCTTTGTGTAACAGCCCTATTGAGATCGACATGAGCAAAGACCTGTAAACACCAGTCTTCTTGCTTCAAAGCATACTAGTCCTTCTCTCCCAATCCCCTACAATAATGAAACAGTCTGTCAGCTGTAAATCACTGTGTGTTTTTTAATGAAAAGATGAGGAATTCAGATTGTCATGTTTTCCGACCTACAGCTAGCAACACTTAACCCCTGCTCTCCCTTTGCAACTCTAAAGCATTGATGTTAGTGCAACACAAGATGCTCAGGAAGTGATTCCTCACAAATATTGCGATGGGGCTGTCATGTGGCAGTCCATGCAAAGTGATATACGGACTGAACAACAGATTGCCCTGCTGAGCCCCAGCCCCAAAAAATGAGTCTTCTTCTCCCAGCATATTTGGACCTGGTCTCCTCTTCAACGTGGCTCCTTCAGGGACTGTGTAAGGAAGGATGGAGGTGCAAGAAGAACAGACAGTCCTTTCCTGGGGATGCAATGACCCATTACCACTTGCTTTAAATCAAGCATTAAAAAAAACACTTGGACAGTCAATGGCCTCTTTGGCTGAGGAAGCTTTGCCCAAAGGATACAAAGAGTTGAGGGAGGATTGTGATTGTTTGTGTAGAGCTGAAGATTTATTTGGGAGTCAAAAGGGGTTTCCCTCTGTCCCTTTTTACTAAATAGTGTGGAATTTCAGTTTTCCCTGCATTCACCCCCCAGGAAAGCACTGCCCATTGGAGTTGGATGACCCATAAGAGCCTGACTGACAATTTTACGCTCAGTTGGGACATGAAAGAAACATCAGAGCTCCAGAATCTCTTAAAAATGGACACCTGCTTTAATGCTATCCATGTCCAAGTCCAGAGGAGCTTTATGGGAATGTCTCCCACTGAGTAACAACTGCAATACCAAAACTCCCTCTGAACAAGCAATATCTGCTCTTCCAAGACCAGCTATAAATCCATGGCCTTGTCCAACTTCTTTTTATGTTTATAAAAATAAAGGAAGGAAGAAAGCTCCAAAAGCCCATCTGGTTGTCTCTTTCCTCCTCCTGGGGAAGATTCCCACCCCTGGAGTTTATTTCTGTTCTCTGGAACCAGGTTTTGGATTTGGCAGCTCAACGGATCACATCCAGCATGGTGGACTCCTCCGTCCAGCTTCAGAGCAGGAGCTACCAAAAGGTCCCATCATGCTGAAACACAGTCCAGCCAGACCCTCTGTCTCCTGCAATAGAATAAGGACAGTCCCCAGATGCATAAGGATCGAGCAGTTACACTTTTTTTTCTACCCCAGGCTACGTTGACACCCATAGGTAGGTACCCAAGCCTACCTGGGACAGCCATAGCATTATGGAGAATCTTCCTATTTCCAGCTGGACTGAGACACCAAACTCCTTGCTTCTATCCCAGGATCACCATGGTTGTGTTCCAGCAGGCACCCCAAGCAGGATCAGGCTGCTCATGCTGTAAAGAGGCATAAAAAGCTGTGGTCCCTCACCTCATGGCTCAGGCATTCCTCCGGAGGCTTTGAGCTTTAAAATTACCTCCCATGGGAGCCCTCCAAAGCCAGAGCATTTGTGCAGCAGGCTTCTCCAAGAGCACGTTTTCTCCAGAGGCACGAGGCATGTTCTGCTGATGTGGGAACCTTCGGAAACCATCAATGTCACAGCCTTCTTTATCCTTGCCCTGTGGCACATTATGGTGGATGCCTGGTGATTCAGGACAATAAAGAGTAAATGCTCTGTGTACTGGGACCCTGCTGAAGGGCTCCCTGTGAAAGCAAGGGACTGAATTCTGTGATGCACCTTTCCAAGTTTCAATCTCCAGTCCTAAGTTTCTCTGCCTCCATCTGCATTGCGAGGCTCATGTTCCTTCTCAAAGCACCCACCACTATCAGAGGGTCTTTTCTGGCTAAGCCTAACCCAGAGGAAAGGGGAAGACCAGCCCAAGACAACACTTGCTAACAATCCATTCTCTTATAGAGCAGCAGAACAACCCCAGCTCTCTGCTTTCCCTTGCAATCCATATTTTCTGTGCCATATGTACAAGGTCACTGCCAAGAAAATAATTAGGCACTGACATGAAGGCAGCTCCTATGGGGAGCATGCAGATTCTTCACATTTCAAGAGTCTGTGTGCAAAGACTCCAGATCCGAAAGGGAGATGGGACTAATCCTCACCCCACAGAGAGATGCCATTTGCAATCCTCTCTCAGGCCATAACGAGAAGCTCACAGTGATCTGCTATGACAAGACACAGTCCTACAATGCTCCTTTGATGTACCTGCTATTTATTGCCTTATTTTGGTAGAGCATGGGAGCCACAGATAATTTTGAGGTCCATGGCACCTAAGCAATCTGTGGATGCACAGTAAGAGGATGTACTGAAAGTTTTATGGTGTCAAATATATATCAAGGATGAAAGTCAAGAGGGGACAGAGCACGTGGAATGCAGGACGTGGCTTTCCCATCCTCTCTACAGATTCACTTCTTCACTTCCCAGAACCTTATTCATACATCTGCTGACTCCATTTCCATTGTTTTACTCAGCCCTCACTGAAAGTGGGGGATGGACAGGGTTCCCCAAAGCCTATCCTACCAGCTGAGAAAAACCCTGCTCTCCATGTCAGACTCACCCACAGACACACAGAAGCCCCAGGACTGAGAGTCCATGGCTTGCTCACCTTGTCCTGAGGGATGGAGAGGATCTGTGTGGGACAAAGCACTCCAAAAGTGATCTCACAGAGTGGTCCACAACACAACTGGGTCAAGGTGGTACAGGTAACACTGAGTTCTGGTGCTTCATGGGCCCCCTGTCCCCCTTGGGATGAAGAGGGGGGAGAAGGAGAAGGAGAAGGAGAAGGAGAAGGAGAAGGAGAAGGAGA